GATTGATGATTCATGATTACTTCGTCTATTATTTGACAAATTTGACTAAATATAATACGGTTGCGTTATACTGTCTATTGTAAAATGTACTGTCGAAAGTGAGATTATCCTCATAATAAATGTTAATTCAATTTTGATATATGAGATAATTATATAATATTTTCTGCGGCTGATGAAGACTAAGTATAGTCGAAACATATTGGGTTGTCCGGAAAGTTCATGCCGCAAAAGATTTAAATTTAATAAATGAAATTAAAAATTTAAATCTTTTGTGTTTCAATTTTCCTTCAAAATCGGCACGAACTTTCCAGACACCAACCCAATATTATTTGAACTTATCATCAAAAAATATAATTGTAGAAAATAAATTTTACTTTGTCACACCTAATTATAGCTCGTTGAATCCTTAAATGTTTAATAATCTTGTTAAATGCCATTTAACTTTTAAAGGCCATGTAGAAGGTCGAGAAAATTTCTTGTTCTAGCGGAACAGACTTATAATTTAAGGGGAGTAATGATCCATTTGAATTTTGCTAAAATCAATCTTGAATTCGAAATTTAATCATTTTTTCACATTAATCATATTAATTAATTTTACATTAATTTTCACATTATTGTATTTCTTAAGGCATATCGTAAAGCTAAATGAATTATTGCATTGTGTTCAGCGACCCAAAAACATATAGTACTACTTAAAAATCCGGATTAAGCCATTTTTGCATCAAATCAAACATGTATTAAGGAAAATCGAAATTTTAATTTAAAAATCGTTCACTAGCGACTTCTAAATCATACTATTTTTTAATAAAAATTTAGTAGTATTGTTTTGGCATGGAATGAAAGCTTTTGAGTTGAGAGGCCGAGTAAAAAAAAATTCTTTTTCCTTGTTCATCTAATATGTATGTATGTATATGTTACGGACAATGTGATTCATGTGGACTTATACATAAGCCAGTCAATATGAATAATGCCCGCTTGTTTTGGGCATGTGAATAATGTGAGCAAAAACATTCAAATTAATCAAATGACTGGTTATTATGAATAATGCTCACGGACTAGTGGGAAAAGTACTAGAGTAATAGATTGAAAATACCATTATAAAAAATAGAGGTAAATGTTTACCTTTAATCCTTTACACAATCCGCCCCAAACTATAACCATAATTTCTCATTGATCTTAATGTTGATTTTACCCTTCAAGGTCATTGATTTTTTCTGTCGCTCGTCATTCATTATAAAGTTATGAACAGAACAATTTTTATGAACAACACATAACTTTTAAACATAAGATACATATTTCAGCAGTATTTACCCTTGACAGAAAGATGAAAGTCATGCGCCCCCAAATAGGAGCTGAGGAGTCGCTTCAGATGAAATCGTGCGCCCCCAAGCAAGAGGAGGGGGGGGGAGATGGATTGAGATTCGCTTCGTCCTCTGCCGAGAGGTGCACGACTTTCCATGCAAAGCAACTCCTATCCAAAGAGGTTGTATATGTAGAGTAGGGAAGCCAGCTAAGAATGTGCGAAAGAAACAGAAAACGAGATGGTCATATTCTTTCCTTTTCTAACATTTCCACTTACACAGCCTCTGTGTCTTGCCTACTCTAATATATATATATATA